TGTCGCCTAAACTACTTGCGTGGGAGGCGAGATCTGCTAACCATTCCTCGCACCAGAGACGTGACTTTACCAAGGCTCCTCCGAAAAAAAAATCCGACCCCGTCCCCGGTGACTTAGCAACTGACAGGTATTGTTACGACCAATGATTAAGAATTTGTTGTAGTGATGCATACTCGATCACAAATATCACGCGATACACGTCCGTAGTATAATATTTGAAAAAACCAATTGTTCTTGCACATAGGTAATCGTTTTCGTAGCCTTAACCGACTAATAGTAATCCCCTGCTTGCGCCCTACTCCTAAGAGCCGAAAAAGCCATATTCTTTTCATCTACCAAAAATTAAAACACGTGTTAACAGACACTCGCCCGGAAATACCCAGAAGAAAATGCAGCCTATGTAACAATAAATCAAAACTCACCACAACTCTAATCCAGATAACAAAAAGTGTGTTTGTTCTCAGGTGACACAATGGTAGAACACAGATACCCCTTGATAATTCTGATAATATTAACATTGTCGTGTGTGGTTTTGTATCATACGAAAAGGATAACAAATTTCAAAATAGGTAAAATAATTCATGGGTTGAATTCATATGTATCACTGTTTATAGTGAGGCACTATTGAAAACTTTTGAGCATGCTCCAATAATTGTATGTGATATGAATTATCTTGAAGTTATACATTTTCGATCGCGGAAAATACCTTTTACTTTGTGAAAATAAGTAAATATTAACAACGTCGATTTCAAAGTATTAATGTTACAGACAAAGATAACAATGTTAAACGCTTTTTCATGTGTTTAGACATACAGTAATGATGAAGACAGTTGCTAAGTAATGCCATACGGCCATTTGTTATTTTGATAATAATTGTGGTATGAATAACGAATTTATTTATATTTCAGCCCTATTGGACGTCCCAGATTATCGAAAGAGCACTGAAGAGCGGCAATTATTTACCGAGAACCAAGAAACAAATCATACATTCATGGGGATTGTGCGGAAGGTGATTGGTCATTTCAAAATAAATATATTACATAATGTGTACCCTACCTGACCTGGCATTTCAAATAGGCATTTCATTTCATTATATGACATTTACTCTGTAAAGTAGCACGTCGTACATTAGGATGAATTCATCAGTAACCTATGATTATACATATATCGTAACTATATCCGATCGCTGAACATATTTTTATGATGTTTGAAACAAATCCTGTTTCTGAAAAACTGCTTTGTCAAATAATATAAATTTGACCGCATTTAAATTTAGCAAATGTTTTGTGAAATCCTAATTCCATTGAGTTGATTTGTGGCTCCAAAACGTAGAATATATATTTTGAAATAGCAAGACCAGGTTCTTTCACGACTTTTTTGATGTTGTTAGGGATATAAAATATCGAAGCGGTATTCCCATTAGAACAGTAATGTTAGACACATTGTGTATTGTGCCGAGAGATTGATTGGGTTTATTTCAAGCATGGCGAATAATCTCCTAACTAGTTCCTTCATTGTCTTCATAAACTGTGAGTGGTTCAAATTTTAGAATATATGTTAATACTATTCATCATGAAAAAAACATTTGGAGCGCGTTCGGCATAGAGTAACGCGTATCATACTAAGGCTGTGCATAATTGAGAAACCATACGTTTCAGTGTTTCATCGAAAGTTTTATTCAGATTTGTTGCTATTTTTTTCATTAATCAACGGTAAAATTGTATCTAAATAAATTATTTTCAATAGCCGTCATAGTGATGATGTTTATTTTTTTTTAGCTAATTGCACATATAATTGTGTGATTGTTCTCCTATTCACGCATCCCATCGAATAATGAATACACACATGCTTCGTATGAACATCGTCTCATCGCCACTCAACCGTTGGTTAATCAGTCTACACAACACATTTTATCGTCGTGACTAACCTGACTGTATTTTTGTAGTTTTTATTTATTTTATCTGCATGTTATTAGTGTTCTTTTTATGTTGTACATATATTTGTATTACTACAGTGGTTGAGTTTACTGAACAGTTCCCAGGCATTATTTTATGACGAACACATAACAACAATAATAATTATAATAATAATCATAATATTATTATCATTATTTCTTGTTTTCACAGCATGAGAGAAAAAATCCTAAAGCTAACACAAATTATTATACGAAGATTAGCCAACAGCGAATGGAAACTGCCAAACATGTCTGCATGGTCAACAATATAATACCATCTAACCAACCAAGACGCCACTTAGACGGGTTTTTTGTTTCAAACAAATACAAATTTATGTTTGAGCTAACGCCTAAAGTTTCATCCACGACTTGGAGGCATTTATTGCATGATGTTGTTGATCCACAGTGTATGGGAAATATGTACGGATATAGAATGCTGAACATCACGTTAAATAAGACCATAGAAGAATTAGAAGAATATAAAAAGGCAATATTTTTCCGGGAACCTCTGGAACGACTTGTTTCTTACTACTATGGCATTATGCATTACACATCAGGATATTCGGCTAATAATAAAAAGTTCGAAAACCTCATTATTAGAAGTGGAATCCGAAATCATAGTGTGATGCATAGCAAACCTAAGGGAGATATTTACAATATTACATTCTCGGAGTTTGCCCAGATGCTTCTTTTTTACAAAGCAAATGCCAGTATTCCAAGTGCTGGTCACTATCAAAGAGTGGGGTATAAATTATGCCTTCACGATTATGACTTTATTGGGCACTTTGAGACTCTTTCTGATGACTCTGAATGTTTTCTCAAGCTAATCAATATCGCCGATCAATACAGTTTTCCAAAAATACATATACAGAAGGGCAACATCAGATTCAATGAATCATTGAAAAGTTTGCCCCGAAACGTTCTCAGAGATTTAATCGATTTTTATCGATTGGATGATAACATTCTTGGGTATAAAATTCCTAAATTTTAATGAACCATGAATTAGTTTGATACAATTTAAGCCATTGGTTATTTCATATATACTTCATGTAACTGTTGTGTATATGCATTTGGGAAGAAATTATAGTTTTTAGAATGAGAATTAATTCACCACCTGTTTTTAATTCAGCCAGAATCACCTAAAACAATTCGCACATTAAAACGCCAATACAATTAACTCTATAGAATAAGTCAATATGTTACCTCTTTCGATATTATTAGAACGTTAAAAAAAACGTTTATACTTTTGAATTATAATGGGGGCTAGTAAAGTTGATGATGTGGTGATATGGATAGGTCATCTCAATAGCGGCGTTTGTGTAACATTGCATGAACTTTTTGTCTTTTATTCAGTCATTCTTCTAGAGTAAAGTTATGTTCAACATATAACTGTATTCATAAATTAAATGATATATAACATATAGCGATTTTATATGTGTCTTATTTTATGAGTTAAATAAAGTGTGCACTCGAGTTTATTTATAACGTATACTTCTTTAAAGAACCTAGGATCCTGACTTGACCATTGTTATGCATTTGATACCATTGACCATAGCATATTAACCAGTAAACTCGAAAATTATGGATTTAGGGGTGTAGTACTACGGTGGTTTACAAACTACCTCTCCGATCGCAAACAGTATGTTGTAATTGACACAAGCACTTCGCCCCCCAGAAATATATCCTGCGGTGTTCCACGGGGATCAATTCTCGGCCCAATTTTATTTCTCTTGTATATAAATGATATTGCTAACTCTTCTAGCGTCTTCAATTTCCGCCTTTTTGCGGACGACACAAACCTTTTCAAAGTTTTTAGAGATAATGTTCTTGATCTCAACAACATTACATTGAATTCCAGAAGGTGTGCAACTGGTGCAATGCAAATAAATTGACCATCAACACAGACAAAACTAATTATATGTTCATTAAAACACCCCAAAAAGCAATTCATAATTGTGGTAACGTTAAGGTTCAAAATAAAACTATAGAGGGCGTCTCGTCTACAAAATACTTGGGTGTGACAATTGATAATACATTTAATTAGAAACACATAGAACAAATTTGTAAAACTATTTCACCTAAAATTGGTATTTTGTCTAAACTCCGTCATTTTGTCCCACGATCTATTCTTATCCTGCTTTACAACTCTCTCATTTTACCACATATTACTTACTGTATTGAAATATGGGTTAACACCTACAAAACCTTTCTTGACAACATTATACTACTCCAGAAAAAATAGTTCGCTTGATAACGTTTTCAGATTTTCGTGCCCCCACGGCTCTCCTATTTAAAAACACTAAATATCTATAAACTCAGTAAGTTTCACACCTGTCTGTTTGTTTTTGATCTTAATAAGAATTCGTTTGTCCATACTGTTGACCACTACTTTAAACCTTTTCCTCATAACTATGCAACACGTCAAGCTACTAATTCTAATTATTATATTCCTAGAATGAATCTTACTACTAATCAACACAGTATCACCTATACAGCAGCAAAAACCTGGAACTCACTTCCTGATTCCATCAAAATTATCAAAAGCAGATACGTATTTAAAAATACGTTAAAACTGTATCTCATGAATGTGTAAACGTGCCATGTTCAAAAGCCTGTATATAATTATTGTTCATTTATCTTTAACTTAAGTATGCTATGCATTTAAATAATAACATCGGTATTATGGGGCCACAGACTAGGGTGGTTTGTATGAACTATATCGGTGGTCCTCACCAGAATTACTGTTATTATAATTATTATTATTGTGTATATTATTTATTATATATTTTCTGGTGAAATAAATCAAACTCAAACAAACTCAAACTATGTGACTGAGCTGTATGATGGCAGTCTATTTGAATAACACCCCCTTGTTACGAAGCGAACGGAGGTTACGCTTGTCTCATACGTCGTTCTGATGAACCCATCTACCCACAAACAATCCTAAACCTTATAAACAAAACATAATTGCGCAATCTATTAAATTGTCATAAATTGCTCATAGTTCCAACTCATTGTTATTTCAAAGGTTATTTCGACTGAAGTATTAACCCCATTAAAATAGTTAAGATTGCAAGTCAGAATGGATTAACAGCACTTAATAGAATGCCAAGTCGTATTGTTGTTGTTATTAATGCTCAATTCATTTTCTCCATAGCTATTATTCTATTGGCATGGCCCCAGTGTTGATGCCATCTACTGGTGTTTACCACACAGCTGTGCGGTGGGCGTATAATAAACGAACCCCCACTAAGTTTCGTATAATGAAGAATTAACACACTTAAGTTTCATTCTAAATTGAGACATATAATTTTTAATTCAGATAATATGCCATGATGATGTTTTACTTATTTTCTTTCAGCTCATATCATGTCACCTCCACAACAAATGCTAGTGATTATTTTTCCAGTACATAAACATCTATACCATGTTTTTTGGATTCATAGTAATGATCAAACAAGATATAAAAAATGTGACCTTAAACAATAATGTATAGGACATGTAAATATTAATATATTCTAATCCAAAAAAGTATTCAGCGGATGTATTCAACATATATTATCATTAACCCAAATTGCACAGGTAAATACATAACTTTAAGTGATTCTCATTTTATGTTTTTAATGACACAATCGCGATTTCTTATTACTATCCAATCAGCAAGCACTTCATTTCAGTAATGAGTCAGTAATGATTTGAAGCCAATCATTATTACATTTACAATTTGTTATAAATATTTTTATAAACTGAAGTACAACTTTGGTAAAGTGTACGATATATATTACTAACGTTATCATATATATATATATTAAACGTCATTATACAGGAGTAACATGAGTAAAACAACATGTTAATATAGTAACGTAATGACCATTATTCGCATGGATTCGCTGAAACCGACTATCTTACGAACCCGTGATTGGTCGTGTCAGGAAAAGCTGTATGTGACCTCAGTTAAATTTATAGAATTGATTGGGCACTAATATATTTTCCATCTCACATACACACATGACTACATGTTCGATTACCGATGGCTATAACACGTGTCCTGGTGTTTCATTTACCATGGAAGCGCATCAAAGCAAGTACTTTGTGTTTGATTTTATCCACACTTAATAGACGTTTATTTTGGGGATTCTGTCACTGTATAAAGGTGAGACGACGCCCGAATAAATCAATTTTGGCTGGCGAAGATACACAATATATAAGCTCAGTCAACAAAAGAAATATATTGATATACTAAAGTAATAATAAATTGATAAATGATAAATCATATAGCTTTTCTTTCTTTTATTTGGCGAATGTCAGTGTCTTATGTTTTATTGACAAAGAAATACACGACATTCTTTAAAATTGGTAACAACAATGTACGTCGCTGTACTGATAATCTTTGTTAAGCCAGCTGCTCTGTCGGTCTTACTATTATATCATGAACCTGTGGTAAAAAAAACATTACTAAATTGTTACATAAATACATTCACTTATTTGCATTCTTATCAACAAATGATTAAGAACCATACTTAGAACCACTCTTTAACGGAAACCGTACATAGATGAGTTATATCGTTGTTATGGCAATCAATTGCCAACATGAAAGTTCAAGTTCACATTAGTAGGTGAATATACCTTATAAATATACTTGTGGTACACATATACCACATATGAAACTCATTAACATTTGAAAACTACGAATAATATTAATCAACTAATCTGAGAAAATTTACCTGTACATGGGGAGGCGACTGTAGTACATATTTCACCATGTCAGCAATGTCAGAAGATTCCAACCACTGTTGAAAATACCAAACATCAAAATTATCGATTGCAATAAAGCAAAGTTTCTTGGGTTTTAATCAGATATTATATTCTGTAGATTTTGTCCACAATTTATGAAATGGTTATGAACGACCTATCTTCCAGGATCAGTTCAATTATGTTCTTCATGAATCATATACTAAGTTTCAGCGTGCCTACTTCGAATCTCGGTTGCATGAAGGCGAATGAACCCTGCTCTACCTTGTATCGATAGTTTCTTCTGACCAACAGAGAGCAAAACATAAATAAATTGAACACAATTGTCCGGAAAGTCCGGCTTAGTTAAATTGTTATGATTGTTGTCTTGTCTTTAGTGGTAACCTTATAATGTGTATACAATTATAATTTATGTACAAGTTTGGGTTCGACTATCATATATATATATATATATAAATAAAAAATACATTATATATGAATACTGTAATGGTAACCATTTATTTTGATCATTGTATTGCCATTGTGCTTTATGGAAAATGTACTCAGCATATAAGATACTAAATATTCTCTAAAGTCAAAAAGTTGTTGTTCACCATACAAAAAAGTTGTTTGCTATCAATACTCCCAATATACAGATATTTCAGCACGCAGTGATCGGGAAATGGTCTATTGTTTCGATTTTGTTGTTATTTTCAATCTACAAAATATTTGCTTTTCTTGTATCAAAACTTTCAGAAAACTTGCATTGCCGTTATACAAGTTAAATTACAGACAGGCTGATGCATATCCACTTGGTTGAATATAGTATTAAATGCAGATACATTATTACCAACAATACGGGATTGGAACCCGTAAACCGTACTCCACCAAGCTATAATTACCTTAAACATTGATTTCCTTTTAATTACTTCTTCCTCGCCCATTTTGTTATGAAACCCGGAATCAACTAATCCAGGAGAAATTGCCTATTGAGGAATATTTCATTATTATATATGTAATCATATTACACATTCGTTTGCCGTGGAATAATAACATTGGTATTGTATCCCACTAACTGACAAATATGAAAAGAAGTTTTCTATCAAACCTATTTCGCGGCATTTGTTGGCATTGTTTAATTGGAATTTACACTCGACGCTCCATGAATATTGTTAAATGTCGTGTTGGTACTTAGTTTAATAAACAATCTGCCCAACTACAGTTCATTGAGAGGGTGTTATAAGCCAAAACAAAACTAAATTGAAGTATATACCAACAAATAAAACAAAAAAACTGAAGGGCAGTATATACCAACACATGAAGGAACACACACATATTTTACATCTATGAACGACCACTGAAACTTTAGCATGGCAGTTTGAAATGTGCAACCAACAAAAACTTACGGTGACCCTGATGTGTGAATTACGACCTCGCAATTCTTGACGTAATCCTTCAGTTATGTGTTTCGTGCCAGCATAGAAACTATAACTGTTACTTCCTTGTGCAATCCGGTGTCCAGATGCACTCAAAAAGTTAAAAAAACACATATGTTTAGGTCAACAAAAAACAAAGAAACACAATGTAGTTGGCATGAATGAAAAGCCAATGCTGTAAACCCCACGAAAACAGCTAATGTGTCTTGGACTGATGATATCGTGAAGAACGCCGTAACATGTGCAATTGGTTCGGTTGCATGCACAAATGGTTCCACACATCTCTTTCTTTTTTCATATACTTCAACGGATTTACTGTGCTATGCGTATACCAAAGAAACACAGAAACAGTGCAGCAGGCCTGGCAATCACAGAACGCTGCAAACTGTAGATGTACGAAATCAGACACGTATAATAACAATTTTATTTACTGTTTGTGTCTGCGCAATTGACGTGATATGTATTTCTTTCTCAAAAAAGCAAAATCTCTCAAAACTACTAGTTTATATAATTTATGAATGTCTGATAAGTAACATTTATTAAAATACAATTATACTACGTAAATATAAATATTTCCTAACCTAAATAACGATCATAAATGTCAGCTGCATAATTTAAAAATATGAATGAAAAAAAAAATAATCAAATAAAAGAACGGTCATCTGTTGTAAAAAATACCTGTTTATATGTATGATATATCCGTCATCCACATTTCGTTCACTCATTTGTTTGAATGCTTCTCTGGTACAAATACACAATGCTATCACGTTTACCTAGACGGAAAATACAAGGCATATAGAGGCATATACGTGAGAAAAGAAATCCAACATTACATTGAATATACACTCACATGTAGAGGGGGAAATGTTTAGTTAAACTTACATCAAGTTCTTCCCTCCATTCCTCTGTCTCACCGGTTAACAGCTGCGCCATATTACCTAGCCCAGCACAATTAACACAAACATCAACACCACCATGTTTGCTTTTTATCTCCTCAAACATGTCCAGTATTTGTTTTTCTTTTCGAAGGTCACATTTTACAGGATGGAGAACACCATTTGCTGAACGTGATTTCAGATCATCAGATAGGTCCTGGAAAGAAAAGATTGGCAATGTCAGATGAGGTTCATCCATGATCAAATATAACAAATATAAGCATGGGAAAAAACTGATATTGGATTTATCAACAAAAGAACATATCATACGTATTTTTACATCGTATATATATGTATGTAGGTGGGTTTACCGCAAGTTAGTTGAGATATGCTGGAATTGTTGCCAAATGTTGTCATGTGCTTTAATTGATTGATCTACCAGGTGCACACAGTGTCGTATATTCCTTATCTGTTATGCTGTAACATTCTTATAACAACCAATCACACTATTCCAATCCACACAAGAGGTTTCTAGCCCTTCCAGTCCCTAATCTGAATACTATTCGTTTAACAATTTTAATCACATGCATGATTGGAGTGAAATGTCTTTTGGTCAGTAAGATAATTTTAGAAAAGTGAAAACCAGAGTGACTGTGAAATAAAGGTTGGTTTTAAATATGAAATATCATGGAATCTGGATGAAACAATGAAAGGAAATTGAACGGGTATGAAAAGGCAGTAAATGTGGCAAGAATGTAAGGTCAGAATCCGGGGGTCAAAATACGTCACAATACATCCAATACATCATCATCATCGGCTGTCAACAACTATAGATGCGGTAAAAGTCTTGATTTGCAGTTTGCGTGAATGGTCGGGGATAAAAGTCAATGTGCAATGGAAATTAATTCAAGAAATGCTGTCAAAGGACATTTCCTTCTAGTAAACAAAACAACCCTGGGATGTTTATCTTGAGAAATTGAGAAGACGAAAATATCTTGGGACAGTCGTTGTGAAACAATGGACATACTTCTCCAGGGTATCAAGGGTAGTTTTGATTATTAGAAGAGGGAAACTGCTGCTTTATAGAAGAGCAAATTTTGAGAAGACGAAAATCTCTTGGGACAGTCGTTGTGAAACAATAGACAAGCTTCGCCAGGGTATCAAGGTTATTTTGATTATTTGAAGATGGAAACTGCTGCATTATGGAAGAGCAAAGTTCAATGTCATTGGCACAGTAATGACGTTTTTAGAGGGGTGACTCGCTAGAAGTATTCGCCATGACTCCGGACTTTTCCTTCCGGGGATATACAACACTTACTTGTTACTATCAAGAAGGTTTAATGTCTTGTTTGTATTTGCACAATGTGAATGAGGGGTTTATTGTCAAAATATATACAGGTGCTTGTATGCCTACTGAAACTATACAAAATTCGACCAATGCACATCCGTTTTATGTGGTCAAAGAACATTGCGATGTTCTCATGGAATTGTTAAATCTTGGTATCATTCCCAACTGTCACCAAACTGTACGTTTTGACGACTCGTACGCACTTCTAGGACTTGTAATAATTTTCTGGAAACTGCACAGCAAATCACATATTTTCCTTATCAATTGTTCATAGTTTTTCTAAATTTCAGTTTTTATTGTTCATAATTATTTACAGTAATAACATATTTGTCCCACACACAATAAGACAGGATGGTATGTACGGATATGTGTGAGTATGTTTCATGGATTAATATGCCACTCCTTTGCTTCAATTCCAACTACATCTCTGGAAATATCACTTGCTGTTTATCGTCCATATTTTGATATCCCACAATGTGTCGATTGCGTTATCTGAAAATTCTAACTACTATTTTGCAAAATTTTACCAGCCTTGCTTCTACCAGTCATTTAAGTCAACTCTCTTATTGTCCTTCACAGTGAAGGTTAATTCAGATATATTGTAAATTATACAGAGGTAACACTACAATAAATTTCCATTTACATTCCTTTATATTACATAACAGTCTTTGAGCTGATGCAGTTATGGTTCTACAACCATCACCAGTTCTCTTGTTGTTTATCTGTGTCGATGCTTTAAGTTACTAATGTGTAAGTTGTTCCAGTGAATCCTGACAAAACCTCTTGCTCCGTTTTAACTCAATACAAATTTGCCTGTCTTGTATGACATTTTCGTTTCTAAGGAACTAGATCGGCAGAAAACTTTAATAAAAAACCACATGATCACATGATCAGAAAAAAATATGTCAAAGAAACCATACGAATGTTTTTATGTCAGCCATGCGAAACTTTTAATGAGGAGCCATGATACCACATACATTTTGTAGGAAATAAACAAAATATGCGATAAGATAACTGAAATGACCCGCTTATGCTCTTCAAAATGCATGTAAGCACACCAAATATGCAACAACAGGCAGTTCCAATAAAATTAAGAACGGTTAAAAAGGGCTCGAAAAATTGATTTGGCAAAGAGACTGCTAGAAAGTTATACCGAGAGTTCAATGTGTTCAAAAATTGTAGCGTTGACTAAGACCGCATTTAAGGCACGCTGAAAATTGTAACATAAATAAATTTGCCAAAAAACTGAAATAAGAACAGACAAGAACAATTAAACAGGCATTTTATGAGACTGGCGGAAAAAGTTGAATACATTTTCATCGATTTTTACCCCGCGTCTACAAAAAAGACCTTAAAAATAATGGCTGATACAGTGACGATAAAATTTACTCTAATAAGCCCTCGAATCGCATACAACCGCCATTTGGTAGTATTTTTTATAATATAATGTATTCCAAAATAATGACTTAGGGGTTAGAATTTTCGTCACTTTTTCTTCCGGGAGCCTAGCTTATTTTCATGACAACAGTGAAAACGATAAATGACGATTCTCGATTCTGAATGTTATCACAGTCACAAAGAGTATTCATCCGAAATGTAAATATAGTTCTTCGTAGAGGTTGTGCACTAAAC